GGACCGTGGCCTTAAGCAATGCAAGCGTGACGTTCTGCATTGCTTAATGTCACAACTCAGACGGCGTTTTCTGGTTTAAACATATGTTTCGGCATCGTCATTCGCTGAGCTGCCTCCGTAAGTAGCGCTGATTGACTCTCCGAGTGTTGTGCGTGAAAGTAATCACACAGACTTTTTTTTAGAGTGTACGCAGCCTGCTACAGTATACGGCGTGAAAGTGTGTCGGCTCTTTACGCACCTCGTGCCTTGGTTAACTCCCCGGATGTGCCCACGTGCTCTTGTTTCCCCTCTATCTCAACCAATGGCAGCGCATACTTGGCTGCCTCGTCACTGCACGTTCCCAGCGTGTTCTCTATCAAAGACGCGTTTTGGAACACTTGCTTTTCGTAGAGCAACCACACACCTCCCAACTGCTCCGTTCTTTTTATTTTGGAACCTTCTTTTTCAGTGTTCCAGAATGGTATCCCGCTTAGGAGAATTAATAACTCACCTTTCCGAATTCTCCTTCCAATTACTGGGAGTGAGCGTTCTCTCCCTCTTCTTTTTTTGTCTTCTATTTTTGCCATTTTTCACGAAGTAAACAGAAGTCTGCCTAGTACTTCAGTAGCATAATTTGCTAACGTATGCAATAATGCACGCACCTGCTTCAGTGCGGGAACGCAAAAAAAAAAAGAAGAAAAAAAAGGTTTTCTCAATTTATAGACAGAGATACTAAATTTTTCAAATATTGCTCGTTTCTTATTTGAATTATAAACTACGTGTAACCGTTAAGTATGTGTTTCTAAACCAAACACGTCTTTAGTTTTTCTTCAGCTAAGCTAATTCGAATTTGTTCAATGTTTACAATAAACCAAAATTATAATAAAAATAATTTCTGCTTTAAAATATAACTTTTTTTTAAAAACTTCGTTGTTTCTCTCTTTTTTAGTTACATTAGCTACTTATACATGAACCAACGTTACTAGATTAGCTCAATTGTAGAACTCCCGCCCCCCCCCCCCCCCCCCCCCCTCACTTCAGACCGCCTCCCGTCGTTCGAAGCGCCATCTAGATTGTCGTTTACGAACTGCGTATTCCATAGCATGGCCTCCGAGATCCCGAAGCGCTTCGGGGATGTCGGAGGCCATGTCTAGAGAGTACGGTGGAACGCAATATAGACGATGCGCTTCGAAACGTACGTATCCCATAGAATATACTGCATTCACCGAAGCAGCCGTCCGGCGCGTCACACGACGGGAGGCGAGTCGTGGTGAGTGAAGGGGGGGGGGGGGGGGTACTGTTAGTGTGTGGCTGTGTACAGCGTCTATGAGCAGTTCCGTAACTAAGCTAATCTAATAACGGACACGAACTCAACTCTGGTACGCCACGGCGCGGTGGTGGCGCGTCGAGCGAACGTTAGGTCTGGGGCTGTGGGCGGAAGTCACCACGCTGGACGTGCATTCCTGCGTTGTTTTCAAAGACACCAAATGAAAACCTGCCTTCTCGTCGAAACGCCGTGACTGGGGCTATACCAAAAAAGTAAAAAAATTGTTGAAAGTCAGTTTTCATGTGCTCGGTTCGTCCGAGAACGTGGATATGTGCCGTAAAAAGGGAAAACCACACGCCGCCGAACCACGATTGCTTGGGCGGGAAGCACTTTGGGTTGAATTCACGGATGTTTGTGGTCATCCGATTTATTTGTTTTGTTCCAACATGAACGCGGGAAAGCCGTCAAGTTGGACGGACTACCTGCGGGCTACGTTCAGTGCGCCTTCAAGTTCAAACGGCCGCCTGATTGTTCGGACTGTCGTATGCTCTTTCAAACGTTTCTGTACAGTGGCTTAAAGGGAGTAGTGTAGTTACCACGTAGCCTCCGCCATGCATCGGGAACGGCCGCTCCTTGGAAGACGGTGTAGGTGGCGGTTCGATCGGCAGCTCCATTAGGGTGCCTCCTTCGGCCGGCAGATAGAGGCACCTAACACGCTTCATAACTAATATAAATACCTCAAAAACAATTTTTTGTTTCCAGTGAGCTTCCAAGGACATGGTTTGTGTTCGTCGGTGAACAAAAATGTGAAACTAGCAGACGACAGTGGCTGTGTTCCAAATCATACCCAAATTGATCCGAATTACTCCGGCGGATCGTTTCACGTGACAGCACAGATTGAAAACGCTGGACGCGGGTAGGTTTTAAAACGCCAAGGGTACAAAACCTTTACCCTGGATTAAGATCGAGCAAATTAGGAACACGGCCAGTGTAGTCGACAGCTGCGAATCGGCCGGAGCTGGCCGGAGCCAAGCTGGTCAAGCGGCCAAGCCGGAGCCATAGCCGGAACGACGGTGATGCAAGCGCCAGCGCCACCCGCGGCCGTCTTCCAACACTGTGCCGCTTCTCCGGTTTCGTTCGTTACACTCCCTTTAAGCCACTGTAGTTTCTACTTTCGTCTGCTCTTTCAGACGGCACCGGCCTGTACACCAAGCGTTGGCCCGGGAATTGCAATAAAATGTAAGTGCAGGCCTCAGAAGACTTTTTAGCTTGAAGGTTGGTTGGGGTAAGCAGGCTTGGGTGTAAACAGTAGATACAAGGAGATGTTGATCATTGTTACCACTGGCCATCACCGACGTATTATTATGCCTGATTTAATTGGTCTGATTCTGCTTGCGATTTTCAGTGTCGACGTTGACCATCTCAACTACAGTTCACGCTTTTGCAGCCCGAGTGACATCGCGAGTGAAAATTGCGAGCGGAATCTCATCGTGCGAATCAGGCTTTAGCGCCCATTCTGCGGCGTCCACGCAGAATGAATCGCCGCAGGTCACATTATTCACGCGAAGGTTTGCGGTGTAACGAGCCTCGGTATATTTTGCTGAGAGCGCTCAAGTAGTCAGACATTGCCAGGAAGACGTAGAGTCAGCAATTCCAACGCGAAAAAGAGCACGGGGC